AGGGAAAAGGACAATGCATGCTGCATTATTTGAGTCTGTCAACTGAAAACAGTAGTATTTCTGGCCATTGCTAGCTAGCATGTGAAATAAAGAAAGAAAGAAAGAAAGAAAAATCACTAGTATTATGTCTGAAAAATCACTAGCTAGCATATGTTTGCATGGCTAATATTCTAGCATATACAATACTTAAATCTATAGATTTACCATCACTTTCTCAGTTATAGCATATAATAGAAATCCAGCAACATAAGTAAGCACATATCATTTTTTATGATAGCCATTGGGCTTCACAACTATATGCAAGAAACAAACATTTTTTAGTTAACATACAACAGAAACATTCCAACAACAGGACTGGGCACAGATCAGTTTCCTTTTTCTTGTTTTGAATGGTCATACGGAATCAGAGGCATCCTCTTGCCTGTCTATCAGGAGCCTAGGAACCATATCACTGCAGCTAAACATCGCAAATACAATGCCCCTAGGCGAAATTCAGAATTCCTCAACACCAATACTGTACCCACCCAGCCTTCCTCTCACGCAAATTCAGAATTCCTCTCAGGCAGCACATGCATAGCACAACATGGATAATAGAGAGAGAAGAGGGGAATGAATGAATATTACTACCTCCTGATAGAGCTTGAGGTGCAGCTTGAGGGGCTCGACGTAGTCCTCGAAGGCGAGCGTGCCCATGGACCAGATCAGGTCATCTCCGTTGACGATCTTGCACTTCTCCTTCACGGACTTGTCGTTGGCCCTGCGGCGCCTGGGATCACACACGAGTGAGCTCGTACCAGAGCGGGCGCACCCCTCCACCGCCTCCCCCTTCGCCGGCCTCCGCGTCCTCGCCCTCGTCATCCTCCACGGGCGGGAGGAGGACACAGCCGACCCTCGCAGGAACAGCGCGCGGCGACAGCCGGCCCCTTATTTCCATTCCGCGGCGAGCGGTGATGAGAAGAAGTTGGCGGTCCCGCCCCATGGCGCACTGCTCGTGTTGCTCCTGTGGATGCGCGGCGGCGAAGATGGGCGGCAAAGGTAGGGGAGAGGGAGGGGAGGGGAGGGTGCAGACCGGCGGCGAGCGAAGAGGGAGGCAGCCAGCGGAGAGGGAGGCGGATCTGGATCTGGAGCGGCGGTGGGAGGCGGCTGCAAGGGATAGCGCTAGGGTTCGCGTGCGGGGCTGTGGGCCAGGCTTCATGGGGTGAGAGGGTGAGGGAGTTTTTTGTTTGAGACAAAGATGGGGTGAGGGAGAAAGGGCTACCGTCGGATCCGGGAGCATCCGACGGCATTGAAGGCGCGATCCGCATGACATGCCTATGGACCAATCAGAACCCAGTACACGTTATGACCATCTAAATTGGTCGTAATCGACTAAAAATAAGGTGTTGAATCATATAAACAGTTTTATGATATGAGAAATAAAAAAAACAAAAACATTCTCATTGTGTCAGCAAATCTGACCTAGTTTTTAGGAAAACTAACAAACTTGGAATTAGAATAAGACAAATATCTTTAAAAAGTGTTATGAGAAATGAGTTTTTAGGAAAAAAAAATATTTTCTATTTTTGGAGTGAAAAAATTCATTTTTTTGAGAAGAATCTACCAAATATTTGTTTCAAAATGGCACCACACCATTTCCAAAACTATAAGACATCATTTTCTGTACAGTTGACCAAATCTTAACATGTAAAATGTTTTCGATCCACCTCTCATCAAAAAGACAAGTTATGTTTCAAAAAAGAATCTACCTGAGCATTCTTTTGTTTTTCTTCTATATTTTCACATGAAAAACTAAAAAATGATCTCATATTTTGCACAAGAGTGCATCTTGGAATTCCAAACAATGTTCACTAAGGGAGTTTTCATTTTCTTTGCACAGATATTTCATTTTCCATTTTTTAGTGCCCGAAATGAGTTTTTTTGTGAAGCACCTACCATATATTTCTTGCAAAATCGAAACAAATCATGTTTATAAAATTTGAACTATAGCTGGAAGCGGGTCAAATTTGAACTATAGCTGCCTTGTAGTTTGCTCTTTATTTTTTCCAAAAATCATTTCTAGGTACGTAAGTATCTATTTAATCAGAGAAACACCAAAAAAAATCCAAGATTCAACCACTAGCTAGGAACGGTCATTCCCGCCGTTTTGACCGCATTTTGAAACATGCATAAAAAATTCAAAAAAAAATCAAAAAATTGGGAAACCTTCGCGTTGTGTCATTATATGTGGCTAAGTTCCCAGGAAAAATAACAAACTTGTAATGCGACAATTATTTTAAAAAAGTGTCTTAGAAACGAGCTATCACATATGGAGATCAATGGCTTTCAAGCCAAATGATCAATCTTATGGCCACATTCATGGCATAGTTTGTTCAAATGATCTCATATTGTGCACAAGGGTGCATATTGGAATGGCAAATAATGTTGCCTAAGGAAGTTTTCATTTTCTTTGGACGAAAAAACCATTTCCCATTTTTCGAGTGCCCAAAAGGAGGTTTTTTGTGAAGGACCTCCCAAATAATTGTTGCAAAATTGGACCAAATCATTTTTCTAAAATACTAGGACATATTTAATGCACAATTCACCAAATGGTTGGGTGTAAAAAGTTTTGAGCCACCTCTCGTGAAAAAGACAAATTTCCTTCGATTCAGTTGGAAGCGGGTCAAATTTGAACTATAGCTGCCTTGTAGTTTGCTCTTTATTTTTTCCAAAAATCATTTCTAGGTACGTAAGTATCTATTTAATCAGAGAAACATCAAAAAAATTCCAAGATTCAACCACTAGCTAGGAACGGTCATTCCCGCCGTTTTGACCGCATTTTAAAACGGGTATAAAAAATTCAAAAAAAATCAAAAAAATGGGAAACCTTCGCATTGTGTCATTATATGTGGCCAAGTTCCCAGGGAAAATAACAAACTTGTAATACGATAATTATTTTAAAAAAGTGTTCTCAAAAATGAGCTATCACGTATGGAGATCAATGGCTTTCAAGCCAAATGATCAATCTTATGGCCACATTCATGGCATAGTTTGTTCAAATGATCTCATATTGTGCACAAGGGTGCATTTTGGAATGGCAAACAATGTTGCCTAAGGAAGTTTTCATTTTCTTTGGACGAAAAAACCATTTTCCATTTTTCGAGTGCCCAAAAGGAGGTTTTTTTGTGAAGGACCTCCCAAATAATTGTTGCAAAATTGTACCAAATCATTTTTCTAAAATACTAGGACATATTTAATGCACAATTGACAAAATTGTTGGGTGTAAAAAGTTTTGATCCACCTCTCGTGAAAAAGACAAATTTCTGCCGATTTAGTTGGAAGCGGGTCAAATTTGAACTGCAGCTGCCTCATAGTTTGCTATTTATTTTTTACAAAAATCATTTCTATTTACATAAGTACCTATTTAATCATAAATACATGGTTTGGTGGCGATACGTTGAGGTTTGGCCGGTGGCCGAGGGCCCCAACTCTAGATCGCGTAAACTCGCATGCCCGCCGCGTGGTCACCGCGTGACCGTGGCGTTGCCATGTGTTCTGGGCGGCCTAGGCATGTCTGGTGGGTTGGGCACTCCCTAGGTAGGTGATAGGAAGAAAATTACAACATAAAATTCTCACGAGGAGACCGATCGATGCTCAAACATGAATTAGCAGCCAAGTGTTTGATTAGCGGTACGGGAAATGTAAATGGCTAATGGGCGTGAGTTTTGGCTGAGGATGATCAGTTGCTAAGAAGACCGTCTTCACAAATTTTTATCTCAAAAGGAGGAGCCTAGATGGTACTTGCTTTGCAAAGTACCACACTGGACATAAATACGAATGTTGAAGCTGGGCTCAAAATAATGAATGGATTGAGCTGGCATTTGGTGGAGGATGGTTATTCGGGTATTGGAAAGCACTGTAGAAAATGGATACTATTTCGACATGCCAAAGTGGTACTTCCTTCACAAAGTGCTGCTCTGAACAGAATAGGAAAATGAATATTGTTGAATTATTTTTGAACTAGGCAAGGGAGGTTTTTGACATATTTGATGAAGATATGATCCAAACAATTTATGAGATTTTTTTGGGAATTTTTGGAATAACAACAATATAGGTTGCTTCACAATCTAAGGCAAAAATTGACAAATGGACAATGACACATAGGCAAAACTGATGAGATGGCGCCTAGTCATCGCAACCCACCACAATTTACAAGGCTATGACCATCTATATTGGTCGTTAACAACTAGAAATAAGGCAACGGACTAGCGTTGTTTGCTTTATGACCATTTCGTGTAAGAAAATTATGATCTTTCTGACCAAAATGGTCGCAATGGTTTAGGGTTTGGAGCCCCCCGAACAGCTTTTAACCAATTGGTCTCAAATGGTCATAGATCTATGACCAATTTTTTCAGGGTCACTGACAGAAGTCACTAGTTGACATATTTCTTATAGTGACACGGCGATTATTCAAGAGTTTCTAGTGGAGAAGATGTTTCACCATGTTTCTTTTCATCACGAGTATCAAGGAAGTAATGTCTGAAGTGTTGGCCCCATGTCTGGCTCACTTCCCTCTGGATATATCTGAACATAGCTTAGCTTGAAACATTATATGCAAAAAAAAAAACATTGTAGAAAAAGAAAAAATAAAAAGCATACTCCCGCGTGGCCCCGTCCCCTTCCATGGCCCCACGCCCCCACCCACAGCTACGAGCGCCAAGCGTCACATGTGACATGTCACACGCCGCTGATGCGAAGCGAGCGCGGACGGCGGAGGCGGTGCGGCTTATCGCAATTCACCGGAAATGATTCGCGCGCACCAAGGGAACGGCGAGAGGAGGAAAATCATCCGTGGGCTCACGTCGAGGCATCCAGCCGCGACACCACACGTCCCCGTCGCCTCCCAGCCCTCCGCTTCCCACCACCTCTGCTTCTCCGGAGGCCCAGGCAGCAGCCAGCAGCCAGCAGCGGGAGCGCCTCCTAGCCCGGGGCCAGTCGGGAGCTGATACGAGGAGGCGGCGGAGATGGCGGACGCGAAGCAGCAGCAGCCGCCGCAGACGGCGCTGGCGGCCAGCGGCGTGTGGAAGACGGTGAAGCCCTTCGTGAACGGCGGCGCCTCCGGCATGCTCGCCACCTGCGTCATCCAGCCCATCGACATGGTCAAGGTACGCGTGCTTGCGTGGTCGCCGGAGGGGGCTTCGGGCGGGGCAGCCAGCGGAGCCGCGCGCTCTCCTTGATACTATATAGTTCGGCAATTTGAGTTCTGCGCTTTCATTTGCCGGAACGCGAGGGAGCGGGGAATTCGAGCGGGGCAGCGGGGGTTGTGTGTAGGTGTAGGCGAGCTGTTTGGTATTTTGCGTCCAAGGAGAGTGCTGCTCCACTTGGTTGGAAATGCCGCTATGCGTATGGGGGATTTTGAGAAACCGAATGGGTTTGCTGAGTCAGGTCTGGGAGTTTGATCGTAACTTTCTAAGTTGCCTATCTTTAAAAAACATTGCCTAATGGATTTGAAGATTGCTGGCTTATTTCGTGATGTATTTCGTCAGGAAATAGCTTCACAAGATTTCTAACGAGTTTTTGCTCCATTTTATTGAAAATGCCACGCCACAGCTCATGTATGTGGTAATTTTGAGGAGCTAGAGTAAGGTCTGGGTCTGTTTCGAAACTATGGAGTCGGGTCTGGGAATTTGATTGTAATTTTCCTATCATTAAAAAAAATGTTGCCTCGTGGATTTCAGGCATTGTTGACTTATTCCTGATTTATTTCGTCAGGAGATTGACAAAATTTCTAATTGGTTTTTGCATTTACGAGTACATTAATCAGGCCGAGTTGATATTGTGCATTCTACTATTTTTTAGTTCACCTCCAAGATGTTGTCCCATTAATGACTTACGATCATAGGACGTAGCCCATCTGTACTATCCATACAGAGCAGTTTTAACATGGTCCCTCTTACCCCCTCTTTTCACATGAGAGGTAAGAGTATAAAATAGATCTTAGCCGTTGATCTCATCAATGAATGGCTTGATTGACTCTTACCTTCTTACCTCACATGTAAAAAAAGGAGGTAAGAGGGACCATGTTAAAATTTGCCATACATTATGGGGATTTTTCTTGTAATATTGTTGTTATTAAAGTCTTGATTTCCATGAGAACTGCCTGCTCTTAGGTTTTTTCTTTCGTGGAGTGGTATTCGGTCTAGATCTCTAGGATCCAGGCACTTAGTTGATGGTTGCTGTTTTGTTTCAGGTGAAGATCCAGTTGGGCGAGGGCTCTGCAACTAGTGTCACCAAGAAGATGCTTGCTAATGAGGGAGTTGGTTCCTTTTACAAGGTGTGCCCTCTTAGGTCTTCTGTCATACAGATTCTGATCATAGTGTTGAGTATTGAATTATTGATATTGTGTTTGGCAACAAACCTGTGTTACTCCATTTGCTAGAGAATTAGTCTATTGATTTATGACTGGCATTTCGTTTGTGCAGGGATTGTCTGCTGGTTTGCTAAGGCAAGCAACATACACAACCGCTCGACTGGGATCCTTCAGGTTTGTATGTAAACCAGTAACTGAATTCATCAGTAACTTCCGGTTTTTTTAAGACCAAATGATTTGCACACGAAGGTTTGTGAATTTGACGTTCATAGTACGTTTAACCTTTAAGCTCGTGAATGGACATGCATCAACAGTGTGAAGTACCATTTTGTATCAAATGATTATGTCTCCTGGAGTAGTAGTTTAGATATTTTGAATAACTTTTTGTGGTAATGCTTGCTGTTGGTCATTGTATGCCCAAAGATTTTTTTACAATCTAAGTGTGCACGTTGGCATGACTCATCAATTGTAGGATTACTTCTGAATCAACAACGGTTTATTCAGGATTTATCAATTTCTATTGAAAATATTTTAAAGAGGGAATACTGATATCAAGTTAAAGTTGAAGTTGTAAGATTCATCACTCCTGGCGATGAATAAAATATTAAAGTTGAAGCCATCATACAACATCAATCATTGTGTTTTTACATCACTCTGTACTAACTGCAATGGAGAGATGATACGTTAGCTGTTGTGTTACTACTATAAAGTGTATTCAGGAAAATTGCTTGCACATAATCCGCCAGCTATCTTGATCCTATTTTATCTTAGAAGAAGTTAGATCCTGACTACACTAGCTGTTGTTCAATGTTTGACTTGATTTTTTGTCTTCACACTGTACTTTCTCAGGGTTCTAACAAATAAAGCAGTTGAAGCAAACGAAGGAAAACCACTGCCCCTAGTTCAGAAAGCTGCTATTGGTCTCACTGCTGGAGCGATTGGAGCTTGTTTTGGTAGTCCTGCGGATTTGGCACTCATCAGGATGCAGGCTGATTCAACCTTGCCAGCAGCCCAGCGCCGCCACTATAAGAACGCTTTTCATGCACTTTACCGTATTATTGCTGATGAAGGTGTTCTGGCACTTTGGAAGGGCGCAGGTCCAACTGTAGCGAGAGCGATGTCACTCAACATGGGCATGCTTGCCTCCTATGATCAGAGTGTTGAGGTACTTAGAGACAAACTTGGTGCTGGAGAACTTTCTACAATGCTTGGTAAGATTATTTTAGTTTCATTAGATTGGATGCAGTATTTACGTTTTATCATTTCTCTTCCGAGAATTGGCTGTGCATTCTGAGACATGAAGCAGAGTGGCATTCAGGTCACGTTATCTATAGGCCACGGACTCGACGGCATCTTTATTGCATTGTCTGGAGGACATAAAAGAATAAAAATGCTAGAATTATGAAATGATTCAGTATAGAACCTGTGGTCACCTTAACTGTTACACCACGTTCTAAACTTAAGATCTCCGGATTTCTAGCAAGGTACTTTGCTTAGTTCGTTACCCGACCTTATGCTGCAAGGTGCATCTTTCCATCTGTATGCTTAACTCATTCTTCCTTAGATCAGGCAGCATTCCAGCCAATTTCGTTTCAAAAGAAAACCGGTAGGTTTGAATGCTCTGTTGACCTGTTAAAGCTAGCTGCTTGATGATAGGCATGCTGAAATTATCCTTCCATTTGCTTACTTTGTGCTCTGATCGACAGATTTGCATGGACCCTCCCTACTATTTTCCCCAAAAAAGAAACAGATTTGTATCACACGTGTTGATTAAGTTGTGCGCTGCTACCGAAATAGCTTTTCATTCATATGCCTTCCATTACACACTGTTATGTTAGGCTTTTTTTGTTATAGTTTTCACCATGTTATGCTTGCCTTTTCGTTCTTTTAACACTACGCGGTCCTGCTACCCCCATTATTCTTACGCTTGCTCTACTCACTCCTTATATGATTTATTGAATTTCTCTTGTAGGGGCCAGTGCCATTTCAGGATTCTTTGCATCTGCTTGCAGTTTGCCCTTCGACTATGTTAAGACACAGGTTCAGAAGATGCAACCTGATGCTACTGGAAAGTATCCATACACTGGGTCTTTTGACTGTGCAATGAAAACCTTGAAGAGTGGCGGTCCGTTTAAGTTCTACACTGGCTTTCCGGTCTATTGCGTCAGGATTGCTCCACATGTCATGGTAATGCAAATAATACACGGTGTTTCTCTGCTTAAAAGTCAACTGTTCATCTTCATGCCTATCAAACTTACGAAATGACACCTTGTATGCAGATGACATGGATATTCTTGAATCAGATCCAGAAGGTCGAGAAGCGCGTCGGCCTTTAAAGTGTCGTGCTATGCTATCCTCACCTACAAATTATAATAGTGTAGCTGCTTTGTACCTATAAACCAGCAGTTGGTTCTGATATACAAAATCTGTACTTATTTCCTTGGCATATATGCTACCATGCTTCTTTGTTCCTTCCAGACCAAATAATCATATAATTTCTGGGTAACTTTTGGCAGAAAATAGTGTTGTTAGGAGCAGATATGCCACCACCGGATTGAACCCATGTCATCAATGGAGCCGGACATCAAACAAACTTTTCATTCTGTACTTGTTTAGGCTTTATTTTTGTCAAGTGTCAACATGTACTCCGTATATATTTTTGGCGGGGTAATATGTGTGGTTAATTCTCGCTGTTGTTGTAATTTCTTGGTATATCAGGTACAAACATTTTTGTTGGTTCTGTTGTGTGGTGTGCCACTACTGCATTCCGAGAAATGTGAGAGTGCATGTTTGTGTCAGCTGTTGACCATGCTAGGTATTGTACGGTTTCTGGTTTGCTGCTGTCATTCTGTATGAAATGCGATGTCGGACTGCCACATTTACTGATCCGAAGTATATATGTCGGCGTACTAGAATAGGGGTACCCTAGTACCCCGGTACCCCGAACTTGTGCACGAGCAGTTGCAGCACCCCGCGGCAAGGCTTGCCGGGAGAACGCCAAGATCCTCCGTGGTTCCCTTGGAGCCATTCAAGAACAAAGTATTTAAGCTCAGGAGACAAGGCACCGGCAAGAGGAGCTTGCCGGGAAGGCCAACCAAGGCACTCCAAGGAACTTGCCGCGACGCGCCACGCGCTCCGGCAAGGCAACAAGGCCCTGGCAAGAGGAGCTTGCCGGGAAGACCAACCAAGGTACCTCGAGGCCCGGTGAGCGACAAACTTCCGGACCCGACAAGATAACAGCAGCGGCAAGGCGCTTGCCGCGGCAGGCGGCCACTCTGTGCCCACGCTCCAGCGCATCCACCAACGTGTCGCTCTGGGGACCTCTCCAGGCGCGCGTGGCGGGAGGCTGTGCAGCCAGCGGTGCGCAGTGGCATGCGAAGCTGACAAGATCGCCATCGTGGCGAACGGTGGTGCCCCTAACGGTCCTTTTTTGCACTGTTTGGGCGACTCAAACGGGCATTTAATGCCCTTGTCCCCTGCCGTCAGGGTTAGGTAGGGTGCACTGTACAAGTAACTGTACCAACCACCTCACTTTTTACATTTGTACCCTTCTCTGCGTTGCCACCTGTCGGTGACCCCTTTAGCGTATAAAAGGAGGCCCATGCGCAACGTAGAGGAGGTTCGACTGGTTCGGAACCCAGAAAAACACTACGCTCTCTCTTTGGAGCAAGAACACAAGATAATCAAACAAGCAGCAGTAGGAGTGTTATCTCTCCGGAGAGCTCCGAAGCTGGGTAAACTGCTCGTGTGCTTCGCCTCGATCTGCTCTTCGTGTGATCTCCGCCCCCCGCCGAACCGAAAGGGGCTCGGTCCGCCGGCCCCATAGGTGTTCGTGGATCAGTTTCCCCGACATCTTTGGCGCGCTAGGTAGGGGGCGTCGAGATTGTGTGAACCTGATCCGGCGTTCACACGAGCTAGATCTTCATTCCCTTCATCAACATGTCACCGAAGAAGAAGACTTCGGCGGCAGCCGCTCCGTCCACGTCACTTCCGCCACCGTTGGAGCAAACGGGTGGTGGAATGGACGCCGGCGGAAGAATGGACGTCGACGAGGAAGCTTATGATGCTGCCAGGTCCAAGGACAAGGCTGCACAAACCTCGGCGACTGTACATGTTCCGCGCCACTCTCAGGAGGCGCAAGACCAACAGCGTCATGGCACTCGCAGTGCCATACGCATGATAGGCCAAGACCAAGCTGGTGGATCTCGGGGCGCTCAAGACCAGCATGCACGCCAGCGTGCTGGCACGAGCGGGGCACGGTCGCCTGGACGGGATACTGCTCCTTCTAACATCTTTAGAAGTCCGAGCACGTCCCGCTCCTCGCGCCGTCCGCCACTGCCACCCACCACTCCACCAGAAGTTTTGGCGCGAGCTCAACTGCTCCTAGATTACCCTCCGACATCGGACAAGATCGACGAATGGAGGGCCACCATTCAGAGTCTCATCGGCTACGCCAACGGCGACACTCCACGGCGGCCGAGCGCGTCGCCGCCGCGGCAAGGTTGCCGGGCACGAGCCGGTGACGACAAAACGGGTGGAGGTGCAACTACCATGCAATCACCACCCCGAAGGCCAAGATCGCCGACTCGCCGGATCCACCTCGACAGCGACTCCACCGCATCGTCGGATCCACGAGCTCGTCGCGATCAGCGCCAAGTTCTTCATGATCGACAACAAGAAGACGCTCGAACTCGCATCGAGCGCCAAAGAGAAGCGCGACGTCAATCCGACAAGCGCGCTGGGCCCTCCATTGACATGCATGCGCCAGGGGAACCAGGCGATCTGCCGTACGCGGTAGGTTGCCCTGCATTCACTCGTGAGCTGCGGCAAGTCCAGTGGCCCAGCATGAAGAACTTCAAGCCAGACGTATCGGAGAAGTACGACGGCAAGACGCATCCGTCGGAGTTCCTCAGCATCTACACCATTGCGGTGCAGGCTGCCGGGGGACAGGATGACAAGATCCTTGCCAACTACTTCCCGCTGGTGCTCAAGCCCAATGTCAGATCCTGGCTCATGCACTTGCCGGACAACTCCATATCCTCTTGGGCTGATCTGTGCCATCAGTTTGTCGGCGCCTTCACAGGCGGACACAAGCCTCATGGCCAGGAGAGTGATCTTCATCTGCTCGCCCAGAAGGAAGGAGAGCCCCTGCGCAAGTACATCCAGAGATTCAGCAGTGTGCAGCACAACATCCCAGACGTCCACCCTGCCGCGATGATCAGCGCGTTCCATCAGAACATGCGAAACCGCAGGATGCGGGAGGAAATGGCGATGTGCAAGATCAGGGACGTCAGTGAATTATATGCTCTGGCCGACAAGTGTGCACGTGCTGAGGAAGGGAGGAGACTCCCCGGAGAGAATGTAGGAGCGGGAGGATCTGACAGTGAAGATGCTGCCCCGGCAAGGAAAAACCGGCGGCGGAACAACAGGAAGGGGAAAGGCAAAGAGGTGCTAGTTGTTGAGCAGTCCGGCAACGGTGGTGGCGCCAAGAAAGCCAAAGCTGGTGACTTCGGCAAGGAGGTTGCCGCGGAGATGGCGGTCGCTGACAAGCAGGACGGCACCAACAAGCAGTATTGCAAGATCCACCGCACCAAGGGCCATGATCTCCAGAGCTGCAAGAAAGTCGAGCAGCTTGTTGAGCAACAGAAAGCTGAATACGAGCGGCGCGACAAGGAGAAGGCCCAGGAAGGTGCTGGGGGATCCGGCAAGAAACGTCCCGGCCGAGGAGGACGCTGCGGCAAGGCCAAGCAGCGGCAAGGAGACAGACCTCCTCGCGGCCGCGACAAGGATGGAGATGACGACGACGATGAAGACATGGATGATGAGGAGACTGATGAGCAGGAGTTCCAGAAAGCCACAGAGGTCCTGTGCGTTGACGGTGGTGCTTCTCTGCATACCTCGCACCGTCAGCTCAAGCAGTGGGTGCGGGAAGTTAATGCAGCAGAACCACCCGTCGAGTCACGCAAGCCTCTGAAATGGTCCAGCACGCCTATCATCTTTGATATTGAGGACCACCCTGATCGCATAACTACGGTCGGGTGCTTGCCGATGTTGGTTTCACCAACAATCCGCAACCTCAAGGTCACTAAGATGCTAGTTGACGACGGGGCCGGCTTGAACCTGATCTCCTCCGCGGTGCTCCAGAAACTCCAGATCCCTGACAGCGAGCTCGAAGAGACCGGTACATTTCAAGGAATCAACCCGGGAAGGAGCAAGCCGAAGGGAAAGATCACGTTGCCGGTAACATTTGGCAGCGAGCTGAACTTCAGGACTGAGAGGGTCACGTTTGATGTTGCTGACTTTCCATTACCTTACAATGGAATCATTGGTCGTCCGACACTCGCCAAGTTCATGGCAGCCTCTCACTATGCGTACAACATACTGAAAATGCCAGGCCCGATAAGCGTCATCTCTGTCCCTGGCGACAAGAAGGATGCTCTTATCTGTGCTGACAAGATCTATCGGGAAGCAGCAGCCGCAGCAGAACGCAAGACACTTGCCGCTGAAGCTCCCAGGGGGAAGAAGAAGACCAAGTCCGGCAAGAGCTTTGATGCCCATTCCGGCAAGCGCACCTCTTCGGAGTGCTGCGCTACCGTCGAGGACGCACCATCGAGCTCCACCGGCAAGTGTAAGAAGGCAATGGCAGCTCCACCTGAGACCAAGAAGGTGTCCGCCAAGGAGGACGGCACTGGTGGTACCTTCACCATCAGCGCCACTCTTGACCCCAAATAGGAAAGCGCGCTCGTTGCTTTCCTGCGGGCGAATGTCGACGTGTTTGCGTGGCAACCGTCTGATATCCCCGGTGTTCCCAGGAAAGTAATTGAGCACCACCTTGCCGTCTGTCCTCATGCGCGGCCCGTCAAGCAGAAAGTCAGGAAACAGGCAGTGGAGCGCCAAGAATTCATCGCAGAAGAAATCAAGAAGTTGGAAGCAGCAGGCCTTGTCAGAGGAGTGCTCCATCCCACGTGGTTGGCCAATCCTGTTGTCGTGCGCAAGGCTAACGGGAAATGGAGGCTTTGTATTGACTTCACTGATGTTAATAAAGCTTGTCCCAAAGACCCATTTCCCTTGCCGCGCATTGACCAGATTGTTGACTCCACAGCCGGATGTGATTTGCTTTCATTTCTTGATGCATACTCAGGATACCATCAGATCTTCATGGCAGAAGAGGATGAAGAGAAAACCGCATTTATCACCCCGTGCGGCACGTACTGCTTCGTACGGATGCCTTTCGGTTTGAAGAATGCTGGTTCAACATTCGCAAGGGTAGTCCACCACGCTTTTGAGCCGCAGATGCACAGAAATGTGGAAGCCTACATGGATGACATAGTGGTCA